GACACTACAACACAAAAAGGGTTAAAGCGTTATGGACGAATACTGGACACTACTAGAGCCACTAGACAAAAATGCTAACCCCACTAGACAGTACCAAAAACATGGCACACGTATTGGTAGCAGTAGACCTATATATATTTCCATAAAATATTAAATTTAAATTCGCATATCTTATCTCTAGCCACTACAGTGACGTCGACTGTCATCTCCACGTAATCCAATTAAAAGCTGTATTGACTGACTATCCCTTCTGCAGCATCAACGCCACGATGATGTAAATGTTCGAGTACTGCAGGCCTTGGATCTATGAATACAGGAACTGTAAGCGAGCTGCTGTGGTCTAGTGGAATTATGGACGCTGCTGCCTCCGATCGTTTCAAGGGTGACAAAGGTCAGCGTGGAAATCGGATTTTCTAGAGATTTCCCCTCCTATTGAAGCTGTAGAAGGCGGTGAGGGTGCGGCAACCCTGTCGAATGGGTGAACACTTTGCTGCATACGTTCGTGAGGGGCCAAGTAACAATCTTCAAGCATCTGAGTAAAGGGTAGTGATGTATGGTTTTAGCGAGACCAGCGAAAAGAGTCTACGTAAAGTTTTAGGAACCTGACAATTTCATTCGATACAGCATCTCGATGATTTTTGTTGGAATTTCGCCACCACAACTTCATTGCGTGATACATTTTTAGTAAGTCGCCTCTGGATAATAGCCAACCTTTAAGGGCTGCGTGGTAGCTCTCAACGCGTGATGTTGCATATCTATCGAAGTGAACATGACGATCGATCCAGCAACGCACGAAACGCATCTTCCACGTGTCTAACCACAGGTTGTCTACATAATGTGCCTCTCTTGGCCATTGCTGATTCAGTTGTTGATGCCATATTTCATATTCATCTGCTGTTGATGCTGGAGTAAGTAGTCGAAAGGATTCACAAGATTTGTCGATCTTAACTTAATCTTCAACTCTGTTTTTCCTCCGTTTCGTTTTAGATTGGTTTTCGAAGACGAGGTACTGTGGACTGCACCTACATGATCTTCGGATCGAACGGCAACGATGCCGATCGACCAGAGGCGAACGGCCAGGATGCCGATTGATTTGAGGCGATCGGCCTCATTTTTGGTATTGGAAGTCCTTTTGGTATTG